GGATGTTTCAGGCTTCTTAGGATATATTCCCAGAAGTGGGATCACTGGGTCAAATGGCAGATCAATTTTTAATTTTTTGAGGAAACACAGGGGTGTATCTTTTAAATAAAAATTTCAACCATAAAGAAAACTAGAGAGGATAATATAAAGATACGTGTCCATGTTCCAGCCACTTTGGTCCCATGTTAATATATTTCCAAATTTGCCCCTTATTTTTGATATTATTAAATAAATAAATGCTGTCATGTGGTAGAGATCCTCAGCTACTTGCTTTTATTTTTGAGATTTATCTGTGTTGATATGTGTAGACTAGATGATTCTTTAACTGCTATTTGGTATTTCATAAGATACATGTACTGCGACTTATTTATTCATTTGGTTGAACTATATTTAGGTTGTTTGCATATTTGAACTGCCTTCGCTGCTGCAGTGAACATTCTGTGCAAATTGCTTTGTGCGCGTGGATGGAAGTTTCTCTGGGAGTATTCCTAGGAGTGCAAATTCTGGGCCATGGGACAGAGCATCTTGTCTACAGTTTTCTCCAAAGTGATATACCATTTGTCTTAACAGGAGCAAATAGTTCCAGCAATCCCATATCCTTGCCAATCCGATGGGAAGATAACTAATTGAGGTTTTATTTTGGATTTCCCTGGTGATCAGGGCGGTTGAACAGTTTTTCATATGTTCACTGGCCGACTAGGTTTCTTCCTTTTCTCTGAATTGCCTTTCCATGTCACTTATCCATTGCCACTGAGCTGTTTGTCCACTTATAATTCCTTTAAAAAATTAGATATAGTTGACATAATAATATTATATTTGTTTCAAATGTACAAAATAATGATTTGGTATTTTTATATATTGTGAAATGATCACCACAATAAGTTTAGTTAACATTCATCACCATGCATAATTACAAAATTTTTTCCTTGTTATGAGAACTTTAAACATTTACTCCCAGCAAATTTTAAATATACAACACAGTATTATTAACTATAGTCACCATGTTGTAGATTACATCCGTGACTTATTTAGTTTGTACTTTGTAATTCCCTTCACTCCCCCACCCTCTGCAACCACCAATCTATTCTCTGTATCTATGAATTCAATTTTTATTTTATTTTTAGAGTCTACATGTAAGTGAGATCGTATAGTATTTGTCTTTCTCTGTCTGACTTATTTCACTTAGTGTAACACCCTCAAGGTCCATTCACGTTGCTGCAAATGGCAAGATTTTATTCTCTTTCTATAACTGAATAAAATTTCTATTGTATATATGTACCATAATTCATCCATTGACGGACACTTAGGTTATTTTCATATCTTGGTTACTATAAATAATGCTGCAGTGAATATGGTGTGCATATATCTTTTTGAATTAGTGTTTTTGTTTCCTTCAGTTGAAAACCCAGAAGTGAAATTGCTGGATCACATGGTAGTTCTATCTTTAATTTTTTGAGGAACCTCTATTTTATTTTCCATAGTTTCGACACCAATTTACATTCCATCATTAGTGCACAGGGGTCCCTTTTCTCCACATCCTCACCAACACTTGTTATTTCAGTCTTTTTGATAATAGATACTGTTTGTTTCTTGTTGGCAATCTTAAAATTGAAATTGTCTGAGCTATTCTTTTTTTTTCCCTTTTTTCTTGTTCAGATAGGGTAGGAGGGACAGAGAGGAAGAGAGAGAGAGAAACATCGATGTGAAAGGTACACACCGAGTGGCCTCCACCCACACAACCCAACCAGGGCTGGGGACAAACTGCAACCAAGGTACATGCCCTTAGCGGGAACCAAACCCAGGTCTCTCTCTGGACCGCAGGCCGATGTGTCTGAGCTATTCTTAATCTTTTGTTTCCATATGAATTTTCAATTAGATTGCTTAATTTCATTCAAAACCTTGTTACATTTGTTATTGTATTTGATTTGTAGACTAATGGATTTTCACTCAGATTGTCTAATTTCATGAAAGACCATGTTACATTTGTTATTGTATTTGATTTGTAGACTAATTTGGGGATAACTGGTAAATTTACAGTATTGGGACTTAATATGAACACAGTGTACCTTCCCATTGGGTTTTCTTTAATGTCTTGCAACAAAATATGATTTTCTGCATATGGTATTATGCAGATTTTATTGTATTTGTTGTTTTACTAATAAGGTCACTTTAAATATTGCATTTTATAATTATATAGGAACCTAATAGATTTTTAAAATTAACCTTGTTTTAACAAACTGCTTAATTCATAAAACACTCTTACATAGAATATTCTTATGTAGATTTTTTAATGTAGAAATCTCTGGAATTTTCCTATGTAGAGAGTCGTATCTTCAAATAATAACCATTGCTTTTTCCTTTAGAAGCTATATACCACACACACACATATATATATATACAATATATATGGAAATAAAAAAATATATATACTTTTAAAATATGTTTTTATTGATTTTTTTTTTTTAGAGAGAGAGAGGAAGGGAGAAAGATAGAAACATCGATGTGAGAGAGATGCATTGATTGGCCACATCCTGCATGCCCCCTACTAGGGATTGTGCCTGCAACCCTGCTATGTGCCCTGACAGGGAATCGAACTGGGACCTCTCAGTCCATGAGATGATGCTCACTCCACTGAGCCACACCAGCTGGGCTATATACCTTATATTTTATTTTCTTTCTCTTTTTTTCTTCACTGGCCTGGGCAGCTGATCCAATGTTGACTAGCAGCGATAATACTGGCTATTTTTGTCTTGTTCTGGTTTTAACAGGGAAAGTGGCTTATATTTTACCATAATTCTGAAGTTTGCTCTGTTTTTCAGGTCAAGGACATTACTTTCTTTTTGTAGTTTACTAAAATGTTTTGGTTTGTTTCTTTTCCATAGTGGACGCTGTTGACTTTTACTCAAAGTTTTTCTGCTTTGCTTTATAATCCAATATTTTTTTTCTTTGTACATTTTGAGTTTGTATTATGAAGTACAAATGAATCTTTAATTCTATCTTCCTGGTACATTTGTCTTTTTATCATCTTTTATTCTCTCTGTCTCTAGTAGTGACTTGTTTGATAGTGTTTTGTCTGATAGTAGTATAATCAGCTTTCTCTTGGTTATCATTTGCCTTTTTCTTTTTTTCCTCTTGCAGTCTCTGTGTCTTTTTGTTTTAAGCCTGTCTCTTGATCACTGCTGAATTGTATGTTTTTTAAAAGACAGCTAATCTGATAATCTCTTACTTATTGTTGTTGTCTAACAATGATTAGATTTTATTATCTTATTTATGCTATTTGTCCTGTTTTCCCATGTTTTCTCCCAGGCCAATCTACATTTCCTTATTTCTTGTTTCCCCCATTGGTTTGGAACATGTACATTTAATTCTATTCTTATAGTCTGTCTTAAAATGTTATTATGCATTCTAGCCTTAACAAAGTCTAGAGTTATCACCGCGTTCTTTCTTCTGAGCAATACAAGGACCTTAATCCACTTTCACTCTCATCACACCTCCACTTAGGTGCTGTTGCTGTCTGGTATTTTGGTTCCATTTTATTTATTTGTTTGTTTGTTTGCTTATTTATTTATCTATTTTCTTTATTGATTTGAGAGAAAGAGAGAGATAAAAACATCGATGAGAGAGAACATTGATTGGCTGCCTCCTGCATGCCCCCCACTGGGGATCAGACCCACAACCTGGGCGTGTGTCCTGACTGGGAATCGAACTGGCGACCTCTGGGTACATGGGTTGATTCTCAACTGTTGAGCCACACCAGCCATACGGTTCCATTTTATTTTTTTTAACTCTCCAATTTATCATTATTGTTGTTATTTTTATGCAATCACTGCCTGCTCATAGTTACCCCAGTATTTACCAATTTCTTTGTTTACCTTTTCTTCTGGCGTTTTCTCTGTGGGTTTAATTTCCTTGTTTCTGAAGTAACTTCTTTAGCAGTTCTTTCAGAAAGCACTGTTAATGTAAAATATACTGTTGTTTCTCAAAAAAAAAAAAAGTCTCCTCTTTCCTTTAACGCTGAATGATAATTTCACTACGTAGAGCAGATGCTGCAGACCCGTCCACATTCCTCTGACCTTAACTCTTCATGTTTCCTCTAGATGACAGTGTCTGCGACTTTGTCCCGAGGAACAGAAGTGTTGAGGAGTTAATGCCTGCTCTAGGTGTAGAAATACCCCTGTGCGCTTAACCCAAGAGTAGGGTAATTCCCAGGCATGTGCCTTACCCTTTTGCCGGACTTTCCTCATGGAATCCCATGTGGATGCCCATGTGGTGGCTGGCTTAATAAACATGTTTTATTGGCTGCTTTCCCTTCCCTCTATCATGTCCCCCCTTCCCTGCCAGTGTTTCCTGTTCTCCCAAATAGATCATCTGCACTGAAATTCTCAAGGCTTGCTTCTGGGGGCATTCAAGCTAAGGCACTGCATCTAGTGTAATGTATATATTCTATATATACACACAGAGACACACACTTTACATCGAAGGACTTTTCCTCTTTGGATTTTCTCATTCTAGCATGTGTCTTAGCACGTCTCTCATTTTTAAAATCTCCTTATCTCTGAGTAATTTCCTTAGTTCTTTCTTCTACCAGACTTTTCTCTAGAAATGTCTAGTGTTTGTATTTGAATTTTTCAATCAACTTACTATATATTTTAATTTCTAAAAGTTCTCTTTCAAGTCTTCCTGTTCTTTTCTCATAATGTCTTTTTATATTTTCTTTTTAAAAATTATTTTATTTATTAATTTGTTTTTGTTACAGATGTTTCTCATTTTCCCCCCATTGACACCCTCCTCTCCTTCCCTCCCACCCCATCCCCAGCTTTGTTGTCTATGTTAATTGGTCATGTCTTTTTATATTTTCAAATCCTGCTCTTTAGTCTATGATAGTTTTAAATAGTCTTTTTTTTTTTTTTTTAACTCTGTAAAAACACTCACACTGATTATTTTATTCAGAAAAAAACAAAAACAAAACAACAACCAAAGGACAGAGACAAAAGTCCTGGTCATTTGCAGTATCTATCAGCTTTTAATTTGGCTCTCCTGTCCAGAAGTGTTTCATGCAAAAATCCATCTTTTCAGGCCTTCTTAAAAATTTTACTGTCTTCTTTACTTATTTTAGATTTGTGGTCTTGGAAGCTCTAAAATTCTTTACATAATTGGTTTCACACTGTCTAACATTTCCTTTGTCTTCTTCTGGAATATCATCTGTTTTCTTAGTTTCTCTTTCAGCACAGGATCTAATCTTTATCATTTCTTCTTCTCCTGCTGTTTTACGTTTTGCTTCTATATCGCCTGCTTCATTGCATCTGATAAAGCAGCTATTTGAGGCCAATAAAGCCATTTTCCCATCATGAAAGACTGGTTCCCATTGTTCTCTTGGTCCAATCGCATCTGAACGCCCAACAAGAAGTCCATCTGAATTTATACCGAGGTATTTTCTGTAGCCAGATTTTAGGGAAATTCTGGAACCAGACAATTGGACAGCTGTAAACTGCTCTGGAGGACTAGTGCCCTCATCAACTTCTTTATGTGGCGCTCCCAGTGTAAAAAGTCCATTGTCAAGTGCATGTATGTAGGTTTCTTTATCCATTTCAATTGCTATGGTTCCTGAAATTTCACCAAAGTGTGTTCCTGTCCACCAGATTCCAACAATATCAAGTTGGGTTTCTTCATCATCTTCCCTTTTTCTCTTCTTTTCTTTGTTCTTTTTCTTCTTGCTCTTGGCCTTGATTCCCTTAAGCACAAGTTTGGTGGACTTTACATAGGAGTACTCGGCCATGGTTCTGGGGACACTCCTGTAGAAGGGCTGGAGCCGGCTGAGGACCAAACACGACTGGAGCGGGGACGGACGAGGGAGGCACAGAGGTGGACACGGAGCCCCGGCCTGCAAAAGCGCCCGGCGGCAGCGGAGGCGTCTCTGCAGAATCCCTAGTGTTTTTCACCCCAACACTGAGTCCCAGATAGAGTTGTACTTCCTGTTTATTGTCCCCTAAATACTCTTATTTTTTCATCACTATTTGACCATTTTATTATCTGATGTTTCTGGGGGATCTAATTCTGCTTTTGGTTGTGGCTGCTTATTCTTGCTCATGGTAAATTTTTTTCTCAAGTGTTTTAAAATGTGTAAATTTGAATTCATCCACTAGAGAGCTTTATCTGCGGGTATCATATGTGACCTGGGGAGAATTTGTATCCTTTAAAAAACATATGTTTTTTAAAATTGATTTGAGAGAGAGAGAGAAAGATCAACTGGCTGTCTCCTATATAGTCCCACTGGGTATTGAGCCCACAGGCATGTGCCATGACTGAGCATTGAACCTGTGACCGCTCAGTGCAAGGGACGATGCTCAACCAATTGAGCCACACCAACCAGGGCTAGAAGGTGTGTATCCTTTTATTTATTTATTTATTTTTTCTATCCTCATCCGAGGACACTTTTCCACTTTTTGTTCAGATAGAGTGGGAGGGAGAGAGAGAGAGAGAGAAACATTGATGTGAAAGGGACACATCGAGTGGCTGCCACCCGCATGACCCAACCAGGGCCAGGGACAAACTACAACCGAGGTACGCGCCCTTAATGGGAACCGAACCCGGGTCTCTCTGGACCTCAGACGGACGCTCTAACCGCTAGGCACAACTGGCCAGGGCTAGAAGGTGTGTATCCTTTTAGATTGATTTCTGTTTGTCTCTGCCTGGAACCCCAGATACTGCCCTCACACTAACATCTGTGTCAACTTTTCAGCTTGGGAGTTTCTGGACCATGTGATGATATCAATTTGAACTTGAAACCTCCATGAGTGCAGGCCCATGGCTACAGATTCTGGAGAAAGACAATTTTCCTGCCTCCAAAACAGATGGAGACAGACAAGTTCCTTATCTTCTATGTTGGTGGCTGACTTTTTCTCGTAGTCCACCGTTTGGAAGGTGGGTCCCTTCAAGGGTGTCAGCTACGAGCAAGGCTCAGCCCCAAGCCAGGAGGGGACCCAGAATGGCTAACCACACAGGCCTGCACCATTTCCTCTCATCTGGGCTCTTTTTCTCCTTGATCGTTGGAGATATTCTTTATTTTCCTCCCTGTTTAGCAGTGCATTTAAAGAACATTGTCATATTTAACATAGCATTTTAAGATATTTTGTAGTAGATACATTTTTAGGATACCCAGTTATTAAAAAAAGCTGGAAATGAAAATCCTTAAGTACCTTTTCCACTATATTATGCCAATTCTGCCTCTTCTATCATTTCTTTCTTGGGAAGGTCCATCTTCCTCTCCTGGGTTGGTAAAGGGAGTGCGGGGGAAGGAAGGAGGCTGGGGGCATAATGGTTCCCCAGAGTCTTGGGCAGGTGGTAGCGCTTGAGAAGCAACGAGGTGGCTTCCTTACCTAAGTGTGTCTTAGGCTGCCTGTTGTCGTGCCCGGGATCCCACCATGTGAGTCTCCTTCCTCCCTTATTTTCTCAGCGACCTCTTTTAGCAGGAATAAATGTAGCAGATGATGTTGAAAATGAGGCTCTTGGGAATTGGAAGTTGAGAAGGATTGGTGTGTATGTGTGTGTGTGTGTGTGGTGTTTGTTGTATGTGTATGTGAAGTGTCTGTGTGTTTGTGTGCTGTGTGTATGTGGTTGTGTGTGTGTGTGTGTGTGTGTGTGTGTGTGTGTAAGATCAGGGGATGAGTAGTAGAAGAATCTTTGGGAGGATCATTAGAAGCACACCATCCCAGCCATCACTTTACAAAGGCCTGGACCTACGGCCAGGCCCCTCACCTTAAACTTGTCCATTAATCCTGGCCAGGACCCAAACTGACTGTTTTTGTCAGGGGCCAGAGCTGGATCATTCATACCTACTGTGGACAGGAAGCATTAGTTCTCTCCTTCCTCCAAACATGGCAGCTAAATTGGCTCGGGTTGAGGTGTTTTCTAAACTTCCCTAAAACCTGGCCTTGGAAGCCGGATCTTGCTTGTTGACATGGTCTGGATTCCTCCCCAGCCTCGACCAGCCTGTCTGTATGGGGAGGACCAGAGACTGGGTACTGGGGGGATGGGGAGGGCAAGGCAGCTCATTATGGTGGCTGCCAAGAGGTCTCCCACCAAACTGTTCAAAGCCTTATCGGCTCGGAGTTCTAATACCATTTCCGTTCATTGTTTCCTCTTGTTCATTAAGAGGAGGCCAGTCCCCTGTTGTGGCAGTTCACAGCTATTGTGGTGGGAAGTGGGGGGGTTGGTGGACGTCACAACTTGGGCTTTATCTGCCTGGCAGCAGGGAGTCCGCAGCCCCTGGGTCACTCAGGAGCAAGGGCTGAGCTGCAGCAGTCTGTCAGCTCCGCAGCTGCTGGGGAGCATGGCCTAGGGCTGGCCGCACCACTGTGGCTGTTTCCCAAGGGACCTTGGAGCTACCTGCAGCCCCATTTGCAGGGGAAGGTACGATCTTCTGGGAGGGGGGCTGGTGCAGCTGTGGGAGAAAGACCAGGACTGGTCCCTCTCCCTGGACTTGAAGGGCCTTGTTTAGAGGGTGATTCAAAGCCGGGGACCATCTTGATACCCCCTCCTCCACTTGCCTCTGGGGGTGTCCTGTGGCTGCTTCTGTTCCTGCCCGGGCTTTACTGCTTGTACTATTCAACTGTGCGAGACTGAAGCAAGCTCTGCGGTGGCCTCTGGTACTTCCTGGGGGCAGCCTGATGTGCAGCGTGTGGGGAGGCATCTGCTTTGGGACTCGGCCGTAATTGACATCAAAGTGTTCCTTCCACAGATGAATAATAGATGGGGTTTATCTCTCTTTCTTTGGCCGGATGGGGTATTGGATAGGAAAGGAGTCACACCAAGTGAATCTCAAGTGAGAAATTCTGCACTTAGTGTAGCAACCTTTCCCAGAGGAGATGGCTGTGACAGGGGTCCATTGTCCCTCTCTGGGAGTCACACAGTGGGGACCCTTTTCCAGGCTCAGGACTATTAGACTCCTGTGCATTTATCTGGCCGACTCAGCAAACACTGCCTGAGCATCTCCTGGATGCTGGGCATGGAGACGAGTGAGGGGCTCATGGTACGGTGGGGGTGGCTGACAGCAAAAATGGTTCCTGAGTGTTTTCCAAGCTGGGGTATCTGGAACAAAAGCATAAGACAGTTCCAACTCCCGTTTGCTGCCAAGTGTGGAAGGATGAAGAGGCTGGAAGGATTAGGTGTGCATCAGCCCTTCTGTAGGCACACAGAGCGACGAGAGGGGTCCAGCTGGCCCGAGACACGCAGGGAAGACAGTGCCCTGCTCCTCTGTCATGGCTCTGAGACTGCTGTTTGGGAAAAGTGCCCGGGGTCCTGGCTCACAGAGATTGCTACTCTTGGCGCTGACCCTGGCCAGGGGCTTTTTTTGGGACCGGCACTCCATGTTCAAAGGCACAAATAGACCAATCAATCATCTCTCTTGCTTAAAAAATAATGACTTTTCCCCCACTTCACGATGGTGGGTAGCACACACCAGCAGCCATCTATGAGGGCAGTGATCACTAGCTCATTTTTCCTGCTTCTCTGCAGATGATTCCTGCCAGACTTGCAAGGTTGCTGCTTGCTCTGGTCCTCACCTTGCCAGGTATGTAACAAAGTACTCCCACTCTCTACTCCTGCCCTCGCCCACTGGGAATAACCCTCTTCCGGAAAGAAGCAGGTGTGCCTGCAGCTGTGTGCCTAGCCTGTGTTAGGCTTGTGCTGGCCCTGCCAGAGACACTGGTTGCCTGGTTACCTCTTCTTGTGAAGGTTTCACAGAGCCCTGCCCCTGACGCGTGTTCCTCAAGGAGCAGGTGCTGTCTCCAGCTGGGGAATTAAGAAGTACAAGGTCCTATATGATGGGGCTGGAGGACTGGGAGGAAGAAAACCAGGGCTTGGACAGATGACCAGTTCAGAAGGGATTGTGGAGGTCATCTCATTGTCCTTCTCATAGTGCAGGTGAAGAGACTGAGGGGCAGAGAGGATAACTGACTGCTCCAAAGTCACGCAGAGCCAAGAGCAGAGGTCAGGTCTCCCGGGTCCCAGGCCAGCACTTCCCCACTGCACCGCACCATCTTCCTTCTGTCACTGAGATTCCGAATCTGTGAATGACAGGAGGGAACTTTTTCTGACCCTGGCCTGTCTCCACTTAGACCACTCAGGCCAGCAGCATCCAGTCTGCTGCACACAGGTTAGTCTGTGACAAAATGTACATGGGTCACACCTCTGTGTCTTCTAGCTAGGTGGGTCCTGTGCCAGGGGACCCAGAAAACTTAAGAGCTTTTTTGATGTGGTTCCCCACCTGCCAACACACACACACACACACACACACACACACACACACACACAGCAGACAGACACACACACATACATACACATGCACACACATACACATATACACAGACACACACACATACATATATACACACATGCACAGACACATACATACACATATACACACATACATACACATATACACAGAGACACACACATACATACACATACACACATACACATACATACACATATACCACACAATACACATATACACACACACAGACACACACACATACATACACACATACACATACATACACATATACACACACACACACAAACACAGACACATACACAGACACACAGACACACACACACACACACACACACACACACACAGTGTGAGGGTGGCAGGAGGGTCCCCTGGGAGTTAGCATATGACCCCGCAGGAGTTAACACTTCATAGATTCTATGTGTCAGGCCCATACGCTGACCTGTTTAGAATTAACTTGTTCAAGATATACTAGTAGATTAATGTACAAAGGTGCTCATTATAATCTGTTTATATATCGGAACATTTG